CAACAGTCCATTTCATACTAATCTTCACCTTGAACTAAAGCAAAACAGCAGTTCTCCAGATATATATATATATGTATAAAAATGCTAGAATTGCTGTTAATTCTGCAAACTTAAGACTTACTTGAAAGAATTTGTGAGGTTGGTAATATAGGTCACAATACTGAACAGCTAATACTTTTCCAGATATTTGTGAGTAGAGAGAGAAGTTAAACTGATTTATCATCTGATTCACCATTTCCCAACAATTTTCTGACCTTTCCAACCTGACAAATTCCCACATGTAACAGATTAACCTTTACCTCCCCCTTTTTCTTTTTAATTTGCCATATAGAACTTTAATGCCAATTCAATCCATTTGATTTCTGAGAACAGACGCCTTTCCAGGTCTAAGCAAACCCCTAGTTTAAGTTATCCTCTTCGCTACATTAACTAAAATTAGTTCATTATCAGTGGTTCCAATAAAATCTGGAGCTACAAGAACAACTGGCAATGCAGAAAAGCCTTTCAGCAAGAGAACAGCCTCTGGGAGCAAGATGAAGGAGAATAGATGCTGTCAGGAACCCATAAAGCCAAGTTAATTGTCAGATACTAAAGACATACAAATATACAAAATACAAAGCAAAAGACACTGCTCTGCAATTCTGGAGAATGATGCAAGCGCCCAGCAATAAATCCTGATTCTCAAAGTATAGAAAGCAATGAGCGAGGAAGTTAGGTTTGACCAAACTTTCTGCAGACATCACAGCTCCTGATCAATTCTCAGAGCAATCACTGCTACCAAAACCCTGCTATGTAAACCCAATGCAACCACAGGCTAATCACCCTCTAAACTGAATTTCCTCCTCTGCTAGAATCAAGAAATACATCACCTTGATACACAGAATCACAGAATAGTTTGGGTTGGAAGGGACCTTCAAAGGTCATCTAGTTCAACCCCCCTGCAATGAGATACTTTCTGGAGAATATCATTCTTTTGCCTACTGGGTTCTTCTTCATGTACATGCAATGTTTTTTATTCAGAGCAACAAGTCTTTTGAAGGGGCATCAGGAGCAGATTTGTACTCAGCAATGAAGTTTTATTTTAAATGGTCAGTGGTGAAAGTCTTGATGATAATTTGGCAGAATTCAGTTTTTTCCACAAAACCTACTAGCACATTGATACACACATGCACACAAAGTTAAAAGATCTGTTTTACCAACCAAAGGTGAACAACGCTGAAATTCAAGTTTGGGTGGGTTTTGGTGGTTGGTTTGTTTTTGTTTTTTTTTTTCTTTCCCAGTTGCTGTCTTTTGAAAAGATCTTTGATAAAATGCAGATCTATGTAACAGTATTACAGTGCTTGCCTGCAACCTCCAAGACTTCACTGCAATTCCACCTCGACACAGAACCATGATATGCAGTGCTGATCACAACCTATCCCCTCATGAGTGAGCTTCCATACCTTATTTCCCAGAAAAGGCACCTACAAGAAAATCATGCCTTAATACCTAGGTGAAAAACTGTACTATATCATTGCACTGTGGGTTTTGTTTGTTTGGTGTTTGTTTAAACAAGAAAGTTCTACCTTCCTTTTTTAATACTGCATTTAAATGTCACAGGATGCTGGCACTAAGACCATTAGCTTTTGTTTATGCTTCCTAATGAACAGTTTCATAATAGCTAGCTAAGAGTAATGTCACCAACTTCCCTACACTAACAATCTAATTATACTGAATTGTGCTTTCAATTAAATACTGTTGGTATAAATAATTACTAAGCACTTAATCTAACTAAGCACTTAATCCTTCATAAGGAGCAGAAACAGTATTAATATTCCTCTGAATCTACTGAGACATCCTAAGACACAGTGTAGTTCCTGAAACTACATCAATATTTGTTTTAAAATTCCCCTCAACTTTGAAGAAATTCCACAATTCTGTTCCTTCCTCTCAGTTAGCTAACAGATACACTGGCCAAAATGTTAGTCTAAACTCAGCAGGAATTTGAGAGTCCATAGGCAATTTAAGCTGGGAAAGTGATACTCCCAGATGAGGGGGAGAAAGGGGTTATGCTAATTGATTCTTCATAGCAAGTAGTTATCACAGGCTTCCAGTATCATCTCTGCATTGCACCACTGCCTCTGAAGAACAGCTTCACCTCTTTTTCTGTAGAATTTAGAACTGGCCACTGGCAAAATAAAAGTACAGGCACTTAGGAGGGTTGTGGTGGTCACCCCCTCACATCACAAATCACAAATTCATTCATGAATGCTGTCATGTGAACAAGTAATAACATAAAATCAAGTAAAGTATTCAAGTGTCAGTCTTGCCTGATTTTCAGCCCTTCTGCCTGTGATTTAAATAAAATGTAAATGTGTGAAATTATCAAAAAAGAAATTATAGAAAAACAAGATAAGAAAACCCCAAGGAATTAAACATCAGTGCTCCCATAAACACTTACTACTATTCATAGCCTTAGAATAATCCTGCCACAAAACTGGAAGTGTGGAAATATTCTGAATAAAATTATTACTTCTATTAGAAAGTATCAAAGTATCAGTAACTTTCCAAAAGAACTAAGCTCTTTCCAAAAGAACTACAAATACACAAAACTTGAACAAAATAAATAAAATCAGACATAAGATAACACTACTGCTGAATCTGTTCCCAGATTTTCAGAACTGGAAATCATCAGTTACAGTGTCTTAAGACTCTCACATTCATCAGAAAGAAAAGGCAATGCTGAGATTAAGCAGTAGAAGATACATAAATCCAAGTGAAAAAAAAGAACAGAATATTTAACACAAGGCATCTGTGCTACCCTATATGTAGTGCTGCATAGAAATACTAGATATTAAGCTATTTTATAGCTTTAACTAGCCAGTTTACATCTTGGAAGCAAAGCAGCTCTCACAAGGAACTACTTCAACACTGGTACTGCTTCTGCTGCTCACACTCAAATCCCAATATATCTTATGCCAGCTGTTCCACCTGCTCTTTCCAGCCATGATAAAATTACTTACCAGGCTGGAAGTCTTGATTATATCATTTCCAGCATAAAGTAATTTTGCTTCAGAAAAAGCAGTTTTGCATACAAAAATAAACGCACACCCAATAAAGATAGGGATATTATCTGGAGTTGTTAATTGTTATTTCTGTACTCACACTGTGCAAGGCGCGAGTTTCTTCACCTGTAACATTATTTTGCACCCACAGAAGTGGAAGCAAAATTAAAAATGGAGTAAAAGGCAGTGCAATTCTAAGCAGAAACAGAAAGTGGCTTCTTTAGACTAAACTGAGTGAAAAGAAGCTTCCAACATGTAGATTCTATGGCCGAGTTGAAAGCACAGCAATGGAATAAAGGACAGATATCTAGGCCTGAACACTCTTGCTCTATAAACCTCCTGGCATGTTCCATTTTAAAATTGAAGTTCCAAAATTAAATAACCTGCAGAATAAAAGTTTCTGGAGTATGGATTAAAAAGCCATAGACACCAATATATTTGCTAGATTCGTTACCTTTGTAATCAGGAAACTGAAGAAACCTAGGCTCAGCAAGTCCTTTAACTTCAGTTGTCTGGAGGTTCAATTTAAACTCATCTGAACTCATCAGTGATACATAATAAAGTTATCCAAAACCTGTAATACTTCTCTGAATAACAGAACAAATGCTATTTTGGAGACTGACTTCTTAGGGAAAAAAAAAGGCAGAACAATCATCTAGGATGCATTGGTTATTAATGCTCAGTTTGTATTTCTGATAACTGTATCAAATCATCCTTGCCTTATTAATAGCCAAAGGATCCATAAAGCCACTATATTGTACAGCTCTTGTTCTTTCTTATTTTCTCATTTTGTTTTTCTTAATCATAAAAAATGGCAAGGAGGGAGAAAATGAGCAATGGACAGTGGACAACATATTATTCCAGGTTGTATCCCCTTAAATACAGAGGATTATATTGAAAAATCTGATTTTAAAGTGCATGACTCAATAATTGCTAAAACTGTCATGAGGAAAATTACATTCTACATAAGCTAAAGGGAGTGAAAGAGAGATGCTTTTATGCAGCTGGTCTTCCTTTTTGTAACACAGTAACGTCTCAACTTTAAAGGCTTAAGTAGCACAAATGAGAGCCAGTAAGAGGTGTACAACATGGTGAACATTTAATTAGCTCTTACAAGTGTACAGCCTTGCTTTCACACATGATAAGGCAGACTAACATCAGTCAATTTTTGAGCATTGTCAGGCAAAAGGTCAAGGAGGCTCCTAAGAAACTGGACAGCTGCAGTAGTACAAGCATGCTCCTGATGTTACATAATGTAATTGTGCAGAAATTTCAAATATAGGTATAAAAAAAAAGCAGTACATTGATCAGGGTAATACGTTTTGGTGCTGCATCAAGTTCACACTATTCTGTTACCACAACTGAACTCATACAACAACTACTGCTTCTTGCAGACACATCAGCTTATTCAAGGCTGGCTTTGATACCTACACATGGCTTGAAGTCCTTAAATAATCACATCTCAAGTTACAAAGATGTAGTCTGCTAGAACAACATTACTATAGATGCAGTAAAGCTGGAAGTGGAGTTTTTTTTTATTCCTTCACTACAGTTACTCCTATAGTGCATGGACTTGTGTCAGTCATTATCTCCTCAGGGTCTACTGAAGTTTTCATATGGACAGAAAGGGTATTGAGCACACAGGTAGCCACAAGACAGAACAATGCTCAAGCAGTCTTCACCTTCCTCTATTAGGTTCTTCCAGTCTTTCTGCAAGCCTGGAAAACCTCCAATTCCACTGTGGGACAAAACAAGCCAGCAAAGCAAAGACAAACACCTCTAAGCTGAACCCTTTCAGAGAGAATTCCTGACCAGCTTCCAATGAGACCAGATAACAATGCTGAAAGAAATGAAGGTATGACTACAGAAAAAGAAAATCCTGGGAGAGACCAAACATGACTAACAAGCTCAAAAAAGGGTTACAACAGCTGGTAACATGGGCATGAAACTGCTTACCTCTGTCCGTACGTTTCATAAACGTATTATGATTCTCCAAGGGCTGTCCCAGAATTTTCCAATGAACGTTATCCTTTTTCTTTAAGATAATCTCTACTTTCCCGACTTTTTCAGCAATATTTACTAAAAATTAAAAGGTTTCATATCGTTACTTTTAATTACACTCTGTACAAAAAAAAATTTTACTCCTCCATTATAATTACATTTTAGAAGAATTAGTCATTTCTCAAGACACATGGAATTAACCTGTTACATTAAGATAGCTGGAAGTATATTTAATTTGATATCTCTATAATGCTTTACAGTGCATTTAAAACAACAAGCACTTATGCATAATTAATGTATCTTATTTAAAACAAATACATTGTGAAAAGCTTCGCAGCCCTTGAGTTCAAAAAGAAGGCTCATGAATTCAGAGTCCTCCTTTACTTAAAATTGGTAAATACCACTATTTACTAGTACCTTTCTTCTCAAGGCCATTTGAGTAATTAAAAGCTAGAAAATCCCAGTCTAAGCAAAGTTTAAAAATACGCCACAGAACCAACTTTAATGATTTTAACATTTAGTCATACTCATAGGAATCAAAGCACCATCAATGTATTACTTTCACAGGTCCAAATGCCACAATTAAAACAAATAAATAAATAAATAAATTATTTGGATTGATCTGATTGTGTCAGAACCTGGTGGTAAGCAAAATTGTAAAGTGCCTGGCAAGTCAGAAAAACAAACTGAAGTTCCACTTTCTGATATTAGAATTGATACACAAGGGCTGCAAGAGATGGCACTTACCAGCCACGTCTTCTTGAACGGCATGATTCAAATCTGAAATTAAGAGAAACAAACTCCATGTTAAGCAAAAACAAAATTACATTCTAGTTGTCAAATACGCACACAGTTTAAGGCTAGGAGTACTGAATGAACTAATCACCTAGAACTCTATGAATCTTTATCAGGCCCTGAAATTTCCCTTGTTACTTCTGCAGGCCTACTACATAACATTAACAAAGGCATTGTTTTCCCCCCCCATTACTTTTAACACTGACTCATGTACAGCTACCAATCTGCATTTATCTACATCATTCCACTTGCCCTTTCAAATAAGGGCATCTTAATAACTATCAAAAATACGCTTGAAGAAAAAGTCTACATAAACATCAATTTCTTACCACGCTTTATTCCACATGTAAAAATTCAATAGATACTAAACAGATGAAGATGTGAGTTGATAAACAATGTAATTCATTTACAACAAGGTACTTTAATTACCTCTAATGAAAGAGAAGGAACATACTAAATGGTATCTGCAAAAAACATATGGTCTGATGAGAGTTTAATAAAGCAGAATGAAAATGTAGTACTTTCAAATTGCAAAATTATTGTACCTACCAACTTCTAAAAGATATGAGTAGTCATCCACGATTATCTCTCCCCTTAATCGTTTGTCTTCACAGTCAAGTATCACCGAGTCTGCATTCATACCCTTTCATAGACAAGGAAAAAAAACATTTGAATAAAGTTCTCTCAGAATTCAAGCTGGATCACAAATGGATCCTGTAATTCTCCCTTTCATAAAATACACTTACCTTCTGCTTAGTATATACGGCAATGGTGATCAAACTATCTGTTTGGAACCAGTCATAACTGTAAAACAAGAAATCCAGTAAAGAGAAGAATATATACTTTCTTTGGGTATACCAAAATATATTTAACTAGCAGTTTTCAAGTAGAGCTTTCATGAATTTACAAGCCAAATACACTATTTACTATTTTTTGAATAGGTAAGTCCAGAGCTAATGGTTTTGAAAATACTGCTAAGATAACAAAAGAGTCTAATTACACACCCTGATCGTTAGCACATTGTAGCTAAAATTATATGGTGTTAGTTTTACATAAAAAGCACCTGCATCCTCTTTGCAGTATAGGAACCTTACTAAGGTGATGATGATAATCTTGACTGCAGACAGAATTATTATACAGCCAGGGTGGCTTCCAAGAATTATAGATTGCATTCACATACCACAAAACCACAGTTCCTTTCATCTCCACAAATCAAGATTTTGCATTCCTATGTTCCCAAGCTGCCCAAATCTTGCAATAAATCCAGAGAAAGGTATGAAACCGAAAGCCTCCAAATGATAATTGGAGGGGTTCATATGGACATATACTTGCCAAGAAGTAACTTACCCACCTAACCCAGAAAAGCTATTCCTTTCTCTACTCATTTTCATCAGGACCATATGTCTGACAATCTCATGCCTTGCTCTCCACCACAGACATCTATAGTTCTCACTTAACTTCTATATGGGTTGCAAGCCCCGCCAGTGAAAGTCAAGTCTATCCCCACAACAAAGTTAACCCCTCGCACCTACATTGCTGCCACCTTCTCTTCTCCCCAGTGTTCTAGCCACTTCCATCTACTGTTTGCACTCCTGGACCAGAAAAAAAAAAAAAAAAAATGCAAAAGAGGAGAATGTCCCTCCCAGTAGACACTCTTGACAGCCAACACATTCTAGGCTGCACATATCACACACCAGAAAATGCTAGACACAGGAAGAAAGGCAGAAAGGTTTGGGGATCACTTCAGAAGGCAAGCCACATTTCCAGTTGTTCACAAGCCACAATATTTTGTATGACTGCATGTAGCTAGCCCACAAATTACACATTTACAGGACATTTTTATGCACAGGGAGAAAATAAACCCTGGTGACTCAAGGTATCATGGAGCAAAAAGATACCTCAGGGACAACAGCAGGGATACCACAGTGGGGTTTTAGTGCCTGCTTCGCTTTGCATATTGTAGAAACTTGCATATGGCTATCATATCTTACTATACTTCAGCTTGAAACAGAGTACTTTTCCAAGGCATACCAACTCATACATTAATGGTCAGATCAACTAAAGTCAAAGAAGTAAGCAGGCCAGTTGGAATAATTTTCTAGGAGCTTTCTCAAGAAGCAAGGATGAAAAGCCTACAAATATGGACCATGCATTTTTTTATGATGGGAGGCACTGCAAGCATTAGAAACCAACAGAGCAAGCAGAGAACCTTGCATCACCATCTGCCTATACAGTCAACATGACCTTGGCAAGTTGTTTAAGCCTGAACCTCAGCTTTCCTACCTGAAATAGGCTGCTAATGATATACACTCATTTAGCTGAAACATCAAGAGCTAACCATGGAAGAAGTTGCTTGTATTTTCTAAGAACCGCACAGAACTATTAAATAGAACGTTTGACAGACAACAAAAGAAAAAAGTTTACCTTGGAGTTAAATCTTTAGAAGAAGTACACGGTACTTTCTTCTTAGGAAGCATACCTAGAATGAGGAGAGAGTCATTAAGATATTTACTGTGATGCTCGCTTAATCAAAATCAGAATCAGAGATTCTGAGAATTGAAATCAGAATCAGAGATATTTTGGGGTTTAGAAACTGAATGTTCTAAATACCCCTCCACAACATTTAGTGGCTTCATTTCTTCAGGCAGCCAGAGGCATCCATGCACTTTTTAAATTTTATTTTTATTCAGCACTTTCTTTTGGAGAGTAAGCTCCTAAAACATGAAGTTCTACTTCAGAAAATGTATTCCATATATGGCAGAACCTGTGCATGCAACCCTTCCAGTACACATAGCCCAGTCCCAGTTTCATCCGTTACTAGCTTGTGCTTTCACGCTTTGTGATAATGAAGCATGGAAGAAGGGTTATTGGAATGAATCTCCTTTAACAGAAGTATTTGTTAATACAATTCAGATGAACAAATTCAACTTGAGATATCTGGTCTCACTTAATTCACAAGGTCAATTTCACATCAGCCAGTTAATCTACTTTGCACTTCTCTAGGAATTTTCACAGAATTCAGTTACTCACTTTAATAATTAAACAACGTGAAACAGTCTGAAGAAGCTTTTGTGGGAGGCAACACTTGGTCAGTCTTTGAAAATATCAGCTATACTAATCTCTGGCCTAACAGAAACTTAGCGTATTTGGCAAAAACTTGAGCAGAGATGACAGATAAAACTGATGAAGAATTGCAGTTGCTTTTAAAACAAAATACTTATATAGGATCATGATGGAGACAGCTGCACAGACAGAAATATAGAATGATTTGTAACTCCACATGAACAGCAGTTTTCCTGGACAATAGCTCAGTAGAGGTCTCAGATAACAGTTGGTAAATTCTAGATTCAAGGTCATTCAAATTAAACCTTGCAAACATGAAATGGCTATGCATCAAATAATGTATGAATTCCCAGTTACGTAGATTATCCTCTTCTAAATGCTAGTAAATTTTGCAGTTTGACTACAAGCTTAAACATAGTAATTGAGTAGCTCCACCATGTGGAAAGTAGATAAACAGAAAGCCACTCACATCTAATCCAATCTGTCAAAACTATTTCATCATCCAAAAGGGGGAATTAACCCAAAGCAGTTAACACTTGCTGGAATTACTTATTCTTTGATCCTTAATTGCCTCTAAAGTATACACCATCTGCAGCTTCCAAGGAAGTTAAATGGCACAGCAGTCAGACCCTTGCAAAAGAAAACCAATTACCTAACAAAAAAGCCTTCTCAAAGGCTAAGCCCTCCTTGAGGACAGCTGGAGAGAGACTTTTTACAAGAGCCTGTAGGGACAGGACAAAGGAAAATGGCCTTAAAACGAAAGAGGGTAGATTTAGATCAGATATCAGGAAAAAAAATCTCCACTGTGAGGGTGGTGAGGTGCTGGCACAGGTTGCCCAGAAAAGCTAGGGCTGTCCCATCCCTGGCAGTGTTCAAGGCCAGGTTAGACGGGGCTTGGGGCAATCAGGTCTAGTGGAAGATGTCCCAGCCCACAGCAGGGGGTTGGAATTAGGTGATCATTAAGGTCCCTTCCAACCCAAACCATTCTGATTCTATGGCATATATCATATGCTTAGGTTGGCCTCCACGGGTAAGAGAAATTCACGGTCATACGTGCTCCTCTTTGATTTTGCAGGTCAAGAGAAATATGTGAACAGCCACAATAAAACAGAGCTTTCTGGCAAACCAAGTTATTTATGAATTATTCTGCAATGCTGTATGATGCTATGTGAAAACAAGAAGTCACACTGCAATAAAAAGACAGTATTTCTATGATTCAGGTGATCAATAAAGCAATTAAGTAAAGTGCTCTACTGGTCATGGTGGTCATAAGTAAAGAAAAGCTGGTGGTGAAGCCAAAGGCTAATAGCAAACATGAAATGAAAGAGTTTAAGGTGACCAGGATGAACAGCAGAATTATAGCTCTGCATCTCATGAGAGCAAACTTTACTTAATTCTGGGAACTGCTTCACAGAATCCCATGGGAGAGCAAGGCTAGTGATAAGTTTCTCACATTATCCTCATAGCCACATTGGAGAGAGCTGGGCTTAATATGTGGGTTAAAATCTGGATAGAAAATTAGTAGGACTGTCAGTCACAAAAGGTTTGATCAGCAGTCCAAAGTCCAACTGGTGGCTAGTTACAGAACTAATACCTAAGAACAGGGAATGCCGATAGTGTTTCATAGTGTCATTAGGAACCTGAAGGGCACACAATGTCCCACTATCAGGAAGGAAGTGAGCAACTACAAAGCATAAAAAGCAGTCAAAACACAAACAGTTATGGCTGCCATTCGAAGGGATGTAGACCAACTGAAGAAACAGGCTGACAAAAGTTCCATGAAGCTCAGAAGCAACACAAAATTTTGCACCAGGGGAAGGAAAATAAATCTGATGCAACAAAACAAGCAGGAGGCCTGTCTAGACAGAAAGGAGCTTTGCAGAGAATCTCCCAATAACTTGGTAGACAAGCCAAAGTTGGGCAGATAACTGCATCTTTGTTGTGATGAAGGCCAACTTTATCCTGGACAAGAGTACAGCCGTCAGTTCAAGGGAAGCAATTCTTCCTCTCTGGTCAGCATTTGCGAGGCCAATCTGGAGTACTGTGTCCAGTTTGGGCTCCCCGGTGCAGGACAGATGTTGATATACCAGAACAAGTCCAGAGAAAGGCCACCAAAATGGTCAGCAGCTGGAGCAGCATAACATATGAAAGGACAGTGAGGGAACTGTGGGTGTTCAGCCTGCAGAAGAAAAGGCTAAGGAGGAAATCCAAATGTAGTCATCAACTAGCTAAAGAGAAGGAGGTGGGAGAGAAGGAATTATAGAGAAGACGGCCAGATGCTTCTCCAGAGAAGGACAAGAGGCAATAGACAAGCTGCAATGAAAAATTGGCAGAAGGGTGAAAAACCAAAATACCATACCTTTGTCTCCTCACCTCTTCCCATAAGGGTGAGATTGCTCATGAGCAGTATCATACACCATCTATCTTTGAGCAGGAGACCAGACAGAACAAGCTACAGATGTTCCTTCCAACCTGAACTATCTTGTCTTGACCCTGCTACTCCAACCCTATGGCCATCTATCTTTTCTGATACAGAGGATTTCTACAGCACACAGTATTTGTGACCTAACTAGTCTCAGTCAAACAGAAAGCTCATCCATCTCATACTTCCCTTATCTATACTGCTCTAGAGCAGCCTTTTAAATACTTTTAAACACTGAATTCACAATACCTGATTAGGATTCTGCCTTCTGTAATTTCCACAGATCACTAAAGCCTCAACATCAGATTCAAACATAATGACAGAGAGAAGCCTGGACAAACACTGCTCATTCAATAATATTAACTAAGTTTCAGATTCACTCCTTGCCTCACTCCAGGTGAATACTTACCATTAAGCTGTTTCTTCTCTTCAGACACAGAAGTAATCTCTACAAACATTAAGAAAAAATGAGCACCACAGTAAGAAGTTGCAGCACAGTACTTGCACACATCATGCTAAAGAAATAAGCTAAGTAAGAATCCACAACTAAACCTTCCAAAACATTAACAGATTGACCAGGATGCTCTGTATGTCAAGAAGTTTCAAATAAATGCAGCACTGGTTGCCATTCCAAGATTATATATAATTAAACAAATAGCATGTTAAACATGCCAGAAGTTGCACAGCACTAAAGGGCAGGAAAAGCAAGAACTCCAGCATTTCAAAACAAACACCACAGATTATCTTTTGCAATTATAAACTTCACAGCTAAGAAACTCACTAGATCTGTCAGACCTTCAATGACACTTGTGTTGTGACAACACTTAGTTGAAACTGAATCTGACCAACCCAGCGTCTGGAAATCGAAACCAAATCCTTGGCAGAAACCCAAGGGAAAAAAAATAATGCTTCTGTAAGCTCCTTCTGTCAAATTAGTTTATTTAACAAGTTACTATCTGAATTTTTCATTAAATCCACGGTATGCAACTATTCCAAACACACAACAACTAGCAGAAATAAAAAACCCTAAAAACCAAAACATCAAAACAATAACTAAATAAACAAAAAAAACAACCAAGCAGGTGAATAAAACATTTTATCATGTCATAGATAAGGTGCTCAACTTGAGTGGAAAGGCACTGCACCTCTCAGCCACATAACCTTCTGCTCACAGCAAATTGGTGAAACTAAGCTCTTTGGATGTGCCCAGGCCCCTTTCTGCCTTTTCTACATTGCACATCTCAATGTCTCAATATAAAGGTGAATTTTATATTCTCTTTGATTGGAGCCAGTTTTGGGGAAGTGGGAGAAACAGCAGTGTGTTCCTTCTGCTCCCTTTTATGAAAATCAAAACGTGAACTTTTCTCCCCTGCTCTTCTGAATCCCTTTCAGGGCTCTGCATCACAGCAGCCACTGCCAGGGGAAAAATGCCACTGCAAGTGAAGGAAATGTTCCTGGAACAAAACACCACACATACAATAGTGCAAAATAACTTCAGAGCTGCCCAAGAATTGTGTTCATCAAAGGCTTTCATGTTGTGCCACAACAAAAAAAACTCAAGATAAATGGGACAGTTCACCCAGATGCCTGTGTATTCTTATTCTAGAGTACATCACTTCAAGCTTTCTGAAAGGATAGGCAAGTAATTTACAAAATGTCATTTCTGATGAAAGGTAATTTTTTGTGTTCAAAAGTCTGCTCTCACATCACGACATTTTAACAAACTGCACCAAAACTGGCATTGCAGTTTTAAGGACAGTTCGAGGCATTTCCAAGACACAGCCCTACCTCTCTTCCTTGGATGACACCATAGCTCTCAGTCTAACCTCACTGAATTAAGAGTATTACAATATGCATTCCGACTCCTAAGTTACGTTACCATTGAAGTAACACAGGGACATGTACTAATGTGCCTGATAAACATTATCAGGATTGAAAAATACCAGACAACAAACTAATGTCCTTACTAGTGTTTAGAGCTGAGCACCCTGAAGCGAAAGCAAGCAGTTTAATGCTGTATGCGCTTGTTGAGGGAGACACTGAAAACATCTCTTACATGCCTGAGGACTGCTCTGGTTACTGCACTGGTCTTCTCAGGAAGTATAAACACTACATGTTTCAGTGCACAGATCCACCGTAACACTTCAGGGAAGTGAAGGGACACTTCAGAATTTCCTATTAGCCACTACCATACCATTAAGTAGCATTCCCAATAGACAAGTTGACAAAACATCACTTATAACCACCATTTTCAAAAGACTCTTCTTTCCTAAAGAAATAGCACACTAGAGTACGCAAGGACAATAGCTTCCTCATACAGTTTGATGACCAAATAATTGTACCATCTTTGAAAAATACACCAGAACACAGGAAGAAAAACTAAGTTAAACCACAAATCTTTCAGTAATGCCCCAACAAACCTATATATGCCCTACCTGCACTGTATTGAGACTGTATAAAACAGCAAGTACCAACACTTGCCTAATGCCAAACACTCAGCTTGTCACAAAAAAAACCACACCACTATATTCCATAATTTGAAGTCCTGTCTTTCCTTGATATTTACGAGCCCACTTAATTCTACATTCAAAAACATGCACCTTACTTAGTATTATTCCGTTTTCAAACGCAAACTTTGCTGAATAAGGTCTTTCTGGAAGGATGCGAGACTACAACTATTGCTGGCTGATAGTGAAGTTAGTTAATCATGCTTTTGACCTCAAAGTCAACTTTGAGAATTTTACAGTGAAGAATTTTAGCAAATCCAGTCTAATCTGGTTGATTCTTAGTGAGATTACATTTTTTTTTAAGCCTGAAATGGCTAACAGACACAAGCAATGGAACTGGTTTTATGGAGTTGGCAACTTTCATCCTGCAAAATTTGCTCCAGCAAAACAGACAGAAGAGTCCTACTATGGAGGAAAGCCAAAAAAGTATACAGCAGAAAACAGACTGTCATAGCTGGCAGGAGCAAAGACATGTCTCAAGAATACCTTCTAGTTGCAAAAGTCAGGTTTACTTTTAAATTTCTCACTGAGCTGACAAAGTAGCAGTAATTTATCTGTAACACCTCGACTCCATTAAGCAGTTACATTTTTGAGGTTTCTTCATACTTTGGTGCATTCTCCCCAGAAGCTCCACACTGGAAACAGCTACCCAGCCACATGGAGATATAAGATATTATTCTTCATGTACAGACCAAACTCAACCTAACCGTTAGGCGATATAAGTGCTAAGGAGGTATGTGGTGCACCTTGCCAGAAGCTTAAGAGCTACAAGAGATGAATTTGTGAACTAAAAGATGCCACGGAATTTGAGAAGAAGAGCTGCAACTATTAATTTCCTCATGTTTTCCCTGCCGTTGTGCTAAGGGTCAATACTCCAATAACAGAGTCTGCTTCCGACCTATAAGAAATTTTTGCTGTGGCCTACAAACCGAAACAAATACTGAAGATTAAACTCTCTGGAAACCATCATAGGCATTTTAGACAATATACTAAATCTCTTGCTGTCCTGGCTCAGAGGAGTCTGTTGTCTCAGCAAAATCTTTTCCAACTAAATTTGAACTAAAGAACCAAATAAAGTATTCTGGAAAGGATAACTGTTCATAAAGTGTATTCAAAGATCTCAATATATACGCAACTTGCCAGACACGTCTGCTGCTGAAATCACCAGACTGAAAATACTAACTTTATTTCAAGCTAAGAGAGGTATGACAGTTTGCCCCCAGGGATCAGAAGGAGAAACAGGGATGTGGGAGAAAAAAACCCAACAAATCATATATATATGTATACATACATATATGTATATATGTATACATATATATACATATGTATACATATATACACATATGTATACATATATATACATATGTATACATATATATACATATGTATACATATATATACATATGTATACATATATATACATATATATATACACACATATATATATATATATATATATATGCCCACAACACATGCACGTCTGTTTCTGGTGACTAAAAAGAAAAAAATGCAGCAGTCCATCACTTAAAAAAGTTTCCATGCATAAACCAGATTCATCTTCAGGTATCTGCTGTAAAAAGACTGAATATTTGCAACAGCCTTCATCTCTATGCCAGAATAGGCTCTCCCTGTAAAGAGGATTCCTTGCAATTTCCAGATAATTTTTTAATACAGCATAGTAGACATTACTGCATTCTTAAAAACCTCACCTTTTGGGGCAGTAATAGGCTTGACAGCCATTCTCCCAACAAGACATTCCTTCAGCATCGATTCATAATTGACCCAGCGATGAACCTATAGTAACAAAATATGTTTTTATAAAATTTGTAGTTCTTACTATGGTGTCCTAAGCACTGAAATAGAAAAACAGAAAGATTGATTTTTTCGTAGTGGCTGACGTAATTCACTTAGCAGCGGTTTTGTGGTGTTTTTTTTTAAAGACTCATTATTACATTGCTTAGTACTTATTTTTACTTCTATGACAGATAACATGTAATTAAGTGAAAAAAGTAGATAGTTTAATCATTTTATGTTTTGCAGTATCTCAATATCATAACTTTGAACTACAGAAAATATTTCAGAAAAGCACTTTTAAGATGTGTGCTACGCAATTAACAGAATAAAGACCTTGTCTTTACCGCAAAGGTAATTAGTTTTGTTTAGATGCACAGGAAGAGGTAAGGGAAAAGGGATGAAGGTAACAAACATGATGAACAGTAGTTTAGGCACACAAACATCTCCTCCCAAGTTGGTGTACTTCTGTTTGTTTCTGTCTTACTATCATTGAATTATTTGGAAATTACCTATTTTAGAAAGTCAAGTAAAGTGAAGAAAAAGCAGTAGCTTTACAGACCATAACTGAAGAACTTGTAGAGAAATGGATGGCAGAAAAGACAACTCTGATAAGGCATCCAGGGCAACACCACAAGAAGAGAAAAGGAAACAAAGTGCTGCATGAAAAAACTGAATGGATCTAGAGATTTCATAAATAAAAACTTTAAACTGGACAAGCTAAGGAGATAAAATAAAAAAGCCCATTCATAAGCTATAGTTTCCTTACATAGAGATAACAAGGAAATGAAGAACTTTGAATTACACTTCATTTTTTAGGAATTTGAGAAACACTAGCAACCTACCAAACCCTTAAAAGCATCAGTATCCGACAGACACAGAATACTAAAGCAGAGGGGATAACAAGAGAAATGCCTCCAGAACAGAAAAGGTATCAGCCAGAAACAAAAAATGTGAACAGCATATTTTAAGTATCTGAACACGGCTTTCCACTCCTATGATGGGGGTGGAAGGGAATAAAAAAATGTATCAAGTATGTATCTGAACTTAGTAACAACTTGATGGGCTTCCCCAGATGTGCCTGATGCCAAGACTCCTGTTAGGGAGTGTATCATCCAACGACCCAGCTACAGAATTCCAGGCCACAACTTGATTCTACATCAACTTTAAGGAGAGAAACTCCAGATTTCTGGAAACCAGAGAATTATGCCCAAATGCAACACTGCATTTGCGAAGGGATTAACCAAAGATAAACTTAAACAACATCAAATCTTTATTTACATTCATTGTTAAAACCATTTTGCAAATAGGGCATAACATACTGTAATAAGCCAACTGTAAAGAGGTAACAGACTTCCTGTTCAAAAACAGAGGAGGTTTCTTTTCTGCTTTTTCCCAGTTTCTCAGACAAACCTTGTGAGCCAAGGAGACTCAAAGAATCTGTTTCTAAAAAATACCAACTCAGTGAATCATCTTTTACAGCACCAGGTTTGCAAGCTATTTCTTACAGAAAACACACCCATTCTGCAGACCCTTCATTTTCCAAGTCTTTAAAAAACATTTAAAGAAATGAAGGAGCCCAACTGATACATTATGATTTCTTCACTGTCAGGTAATAGCAGCCCCAGCATTTTTATTTAGTACTTGACTCCCTGATAATGCAGGGGATAAATTAATGGGTAAAAGAATATTACAAGCATTTTTCAAAAAATTAAACTTCTGAGAAGAAAATGCCTCTCAAACAACAGCAATCAGTTGTTGTAGTGACTTATTAAGAAGGTGGCATCTCAGGCTACTGCTACTTTATTGTTATTTCTCCTAAAAAATAATAAAATGGTCAAATTGAAGCAACATTTCAACATCAAAGTGACATCTTGATTGCTGTCTTCTGGTATGCTTCTTTCAGTAAAGAAGTGCCATTCTCAGCAATAACTCAGTGCCTTTTCTTAGACCTGAAAAAGTTCCTCCGGGAGTAGGGGGAGGGAAAGAAGAGGGGGAGTGAGTGAATGAGTTGCCTGACTGGGTTTAAACCACGACAAGTTCACCATTTCCACTGGAATGTCCTAAAATAATCAGAAAACATGCATTTCCTTTTTCAAAATACCTTTCAATGAGCAAGTGTAATTTGCTGCCAGTTCTCACCTGGTCAAAGAGATCTGTACCATCAGTTCCTGCCGCTTTCATTAGTTCATCCTCACCACCGGGATGATATTCCATATATGGTGTGACATTATATACAAATCCTGAAGAAAATGAAACATAAAAACAAGTAAGCAGCATTTCCACAAGCTCTACAACCACTCCTATCTCCAAAACCAGTGAAAAGTTAATGTATATTCAACAGTGTAATGGCAAATAGTAAACATAGCTGTAACAAATTGTATGACTTCACAAAACACAATGGTATAGAGAACAAGACAAGATGTTCCTACATGGAGATGCCAAACCTATAATGCCATGCCACTTTGTCCAGTGAACATATGAAGAAACCTGCAGGGTTAAGGCTTCAACCTTGAAGGTGAACATGGTATATGCTAGCTAGGGGGTAACTAGGACCAGAGACTGATTTAAACAAAGACATAAAATTGAGCTTGTTAGTGCACAGAACTGTTTTCACTCTCCAATTAAGTTACCCCTGAAGTGCTGTTGTACTTGTTTCTGTATACTCCATCATCTATGGAATAAAATTCCTACAGGAATGAACTGTCCCCCATAAGGACAAACTGCTACCATCAGCAACAAAACTTCAACTCTTCAGATTCAGCAACATAAAAGAACTTAAGATAGTCTATGCTCATTAAAGGCTTATAACTCTGGTACCAAATTTGTCCCAGTAAAAGGGTTCAGCATTCTTTCTGCATTTCCAGGAAGATAAAACAATGCCTCTTCACAGGTCTGAAATCATGAAATCTAATTATTGTTGCTATGCAACCAGAGTAATTAGAGCCTGGAGAATGCAGCTATAAACAGATTTAACTGCAGACATGTTGGTGTTAACAGGACTATTGCAGGCCTACCTAGCAGAATATTTAAAGACACACACATTACCAAAACAGGAAGCTACCAGAAGTGGAACTGCACCAGTGCTTTTGTAAGAAGCTTTTAACACATTAAGAAGTGTACATTAATTACTCCGGACGGAGAGGTAAGCATTCAGCACTGAGCCTGGGGAAGACATACTTGGGAGAATCCTAGTTGGTAAGAACAGCCATCGCAGACAACAAAGAAAAGAAAGATCTCCGCATGTTTTACTGAGCAGATCTTCTGATGATGTATTCACTACGCCATCTTGCGGGCAGCATTGATTACTGCACACACTAAAAGTAACATTGTTACGACCTCCTGACTATTAGTCAGTTAATCAATTTACCATCAAACATGCACGAGCAAAAGAAATCTCATTTATATACCCTTCACACTTTAACTGCCCTGACATCCCACTTACATATATAAATCTCCGTCCTATATGACAGCATTATTTGATGATCATCATACCAGGGTTTTGAACAAAGTTAGCTCTTCTTTTACTTCACTATCCTCTTATCAATTTCTGTCCTAATAGATACACAGTCTAAGTACCATTGCAAAGACTTCATTTAGCTTTTCCACAATGGTGTTATATTGCTACCTGCCCATATATCAGGTCTACAGATAATCTACCAGGATTCTCGGTTATGCTGTTTTTTTTCATTAGTCTGTCAACAAAGAAAAAGCAGAGAGAGGAAAATATAAAGACACATACAAAAGCAGCATGATGGAGTTCTTGTAAAACCAGTATCAGAGATGCAGTCAAGGGGAAATAAGAGATTAAAACCAAAACAGAAAAAGTTTTAAGCAATGATTTTGTATTCAGTAGATGTCCCTTTTTGAGTGAGAAAAACGAATAGACCTCCACAGTAAATAAGCTCTCCTCTTTAACTGTAGTTTTGCTAGCAAGTGCAAGAGCACACAGAGCATTAACAATCGTATTATTTTGTTCAAAAGCCAGTACTGAATGACATTTTACCCTTACTCTCTTATTCCTTTCAATGTCAAAAAAATCCCAGTCACCCTCATAGAGATACTGAACTTCCTTCTGCTGGAGTTCAGAGACGACATTACGACAAATACCAATGTTGTTCCTTACCAGAACAAAGTTACAATTAACAAACCACTCCTCCTACAGAAATGTCACATTAGCTACTCAAGTGTTAATAATCTACCTTTGTAGAAGTGTTGTTATAACATATATAAGGTGATATTGATGTATTTTAGCCTCTAAACAAATTAACCGGAGAGGGAATATTTTGTTCCTTTCTGTAAGACAACTAGGAACTTCATTTTCAGCACTGAAAATACTTACCTAGCTACAGCCATTGCTCCAAAGTTTTGAGCTGAAATTTCATTAAAATAGCAGCATAAATAGAATGGCTTATTTGCCACAGATGTTTGATTGCTAGATAGAAATTATGATTGTTCTGTGTTACAACTGTCATTAGCCCCACTCAGTTTTATGGAGGTTTATACACACTTGCACATTTGTTTCCCAAAGACCATTCCACAGGCCTAAGTAATATTTTAAGTATTTTTATGTCTCTAGATGCCTTAAAGCAATCACTAAAACCAGTCAACTGTTAAGGATAATAAACTGATGTCAGCATTTTCAATGCCTTATTTTTGCTAAGCCCTTGTTACTTGAGGCATTACCTTATATCTTGTGTTTTATTATTTTCATATGTATATTTGGGGCCTACAAGGATGCTGGCAAGGGACTCTTCGCTAGGGACTGTAGTGACAGGACAAGGGGTAACAGATTACAACTTGAAACAGAGGAAGTTCAAGTTATATACAGGGAAGAGGTTCTTTACTGTAAGGGTGGTGAGGCACTGTAATGGGTTGCCCAAGGAAGTTGTGAATGCTCCATCCCTGGTGGTGTTCAAGGCCAGGCTGGTCAGAGCCTTGGGTGACACGGTTTAGTGTGAGGTGTCCCTGCCCATGGCAGGGGGGTTGTAACTTGATGATCTTTTCCAATCCTTACTCTTTTGTGATTCTATGATTCTATATATAAAACAAGCATAAATTATGCTCATTTGGAAGACTTCTTAAGAAAGGTTTGAAAGCAAGAAAATCTTTGGGGCACAAAATCTCTTAACTTGATCCAAGTTCTGCCCAATTATGCCAAAATTACACCCTGCTCAGGCACAGAAGGTGCATAGTTTGTTGTGGCTTTTGGGGAGTGGCTTTTGTTGTTTTTTGTTCCTCCTTCTTTCTTTTACGTACAGAAGAGAAAATGTAGGCAAAAAACACAGAAGGAACATCACAGCAACCAACCTCTTATACATATCCAGCAGTCCTCTTTTTTGTTGTGCTTAGCAAGCTCATCTTCAGTCACTTCAATTAGTCTCCCTTTTAAACCAGTCATGTCTTTCCCACTTTTAGTTAGTCGAATCCAATCCATAAGACTCCTTCCTGGCTTTAAAGGTACCTGAAAAATAACAAACATACAAACACTGTTAAACTCTAAAGTAAAAAAGAACCATTCAAAACACTTTTCTAAACTCCCTAGGAAGAGTCAAAACAAGAAATAACACAACGTGTATTCTTCACCGATATCTGGGAGCCCTACTCAGCAGCAAGGGTGCTTAAGAAAGCACCCTATCTGGTAACCCAGACAAGGGAATTATTGAACATGAACAAACATTTAGATGACTCTTCACAAAGCAAACTGCAGATACCAAGTCCTCCTGTGGTGCTAAAAAGCTTTTACCAGCATCATTTGAGATACAGCCTGGAAACCTATCAGCAACAAGGAAGAGAGATTTGAAAATCATGGCCAAGTAGGACAAGGTAGGAAAGTTCACCTTCAGAGCATTCATAAAGACTTTCTGCAAGCCCTATGGCAACTGGAAATCTCACCCAGAAAAAGGTGGGACCAAACTCTTCCAGCTTACCAGGGATGTAACAGCAATGGTGGGCCCAGAAAGACAGAGCAAAATCTTCAGAATGTCTAGCACCTTCCTTTTCAACACCACCACAGAGCAGGAACCCTTTGATTTGAACTCTTAACAGCGCGGAACAGGGTTAGGGAATGGAGGTCTTACAAAACTGCAGCGAAACCAGAAGCGAGAAAACTAAAGAGCACACAGACCCACATCACTTGATGGTTACTTTAGTCTAAGTACGAGTTTGACTTTCCAAACCTCACATCTGCAGACACCAAGTGCCCCCCAAATCACCCCGTCTTCAGAGTAAGCTGAAAGTCTCCATCTCCGCACAGAATGCCCTGGAGACAGGCTGAGAAGGCAAGAGCAGGAAGCGTTATCACCACCGCCTTCGAAAACGAGAAGTACGAAGCATTTTTCGGCGAAGCAGCCGAGCCCAGGGGCTCTGCCACAGCCGCCGTGTTCCCTCAGCAACTGCTGTAGTAGGAGACCTCTCGAGGGACGCGGCCAGCCGCAACCCCGCCCCAGCCGGAACCGGGGGCCGACCGGCAAGCCCCAGCAGCTCCGCCGACAGGGAAGCTCAGCCGAGGCAGCCGGCCGAAACGCAGCCGGCCAAACACTGGCCTCACCGGGCCCTCCATCCCCCACCAAAGCGTCAGTCACCGGCAGCCCAGCGGCCCGGGCAATAAGCAGCGCTACAGGGCTCTCCGCCGCGGTGCCGGGGAGAGCCCCAGCGCCGGCTGCGATCGACTCCTAGCCCCGCGACGGCGGCCGAGCTGCACCTACCTTAGCGCGGCCGCCTGCTGCCGCCCGCTGTTGGGAGCTGGGCGCAGGGAAAGCCTGCGGCGGCACATTCAGCATGCTGCCGGCCGAGCTGCGGCCTGCGCCCCGCAGGGCAGGGGGGCGGGATGAGCGCTCCAGCGCAGGGCGCAGGCGCGGGACGGGCGGAGCCCGGGCCTGGGCGGGGTTGAGGCGCGCTAGCGGTGGTGTATGTGGAGGTAGTTCTCGCCGGCCGCCCTCTGGGCTGCTAGCAGGAAACCGCCTGGCATTGATCATTCCCCGCTGCCATCGCGAGGCCTGGGGGTACCACTTTAGGACGGGGCGGTGGCAGGTGCGAGGAGAGGGGGTCTGCATACCTCGTACACCTCCTTGTCTCCCCTAGGGAGTTCGTCGTGCGTCGCACTCAAGTCGGTTTAATGTCCAGGTCCCCCAGATACGACGGGGCAAGCTTCGCAGGGATGCTGTTGGCACCACGCCGAGCCAGTCCTGCCTGCAGCAACACACACACGGGCAGCTTCAAGTACGCGTGCTGTCAGTGGAATACAAGTTTTGGCTTTTTTTGTTCCATTAGGGGCTTTGCTTCAGTTACCAAAGCCAAACTCAATCAAAACAACTCATGCTAGACGTTCTCATTTCTTGATCTCCACTTTACAGACTAAAGCAGAGATCAATAGAGTTTCATACTGTATTTCCATATAACAATACAGCACATGTACATGAGAGCACAAGTGGCTCAAAGAAGGGGGTTGCCTTAAAAGCAAGAACTAGAGTAGCAGTTGCACCCTTCTCTCCAACCAAGAAAGAGAGATTTCTCTTTTCCATGTTTGAAACTCCATTGTAACAGCATGAGTGATTAAGAGTACTTAATCCAATGATTCCTTGACATGCTTCCACGTGGAGCCTACTAAATCACAATGAAAATGCTTTCTTTGTGTGTCCTCAAACTTTGAGGAAGTCACATAACCTTTGAGCCCTTTAAAGCACGGCTTCCTTCTGTGCTTCTAAAATTGATGTCTACAAAATATAGGACCGCAGATAAAAATACTAATCAACACCTTCCCTACCTAAAACAGAACAGGAATAGAACAAAGAAAAAAGGTTCAGATAAAATTACAAGACATTTCAGTTTTATTAAGAATAACTTACAAATAAATTATCTTTAAAAATATTATAATACATTTTTATATTAGGTTTAAATTAAGTCTTAGAAGTTGTGTTGGCCTTTCCTGTAGTCAGCAATCTGATGGTGTTCTTGAATCTTGCTCCTGTTCATCATCTTCACTATCTGAGTCTTCATAAAAGGAAATTGTAGCTTGAACTGGAAAGTTTTTCAGAAGTGCTTCGGCTTCCTGATACAAGTAATCATAGCATCTTGATTTGGGCCAAAATAGTCTGAAACAAGAACACAGTATGTTTGCTTATTGTTATTACATATTCTACTTGGAGGCTGACAGACAACAAACAGTGAAATTCTGTTAAGCATCCTACAGAGTTTTTCCTTTACATGCTAAACTGCTTTCTACATTTAAATAGAAAAGAAAATCCCCAGTTTCTCTATTTTTGTCTGAAGAGATAAAAATGCACTTAAAGTGCTGTTTCCACAGCAAAACTGCTGTAAACCCCAAGATCTACTGCATCTGAAACTTCCCACTCCAGTGCCTCATTAACAGTGTTACCTGAGGATCCAATCCAAGCAGTACTACCCTCACTGGAACTATTCCTAGGGAATATAACAGGTGTCAAACTAGATCCCCAATATATTTGGATTAAATTAGGCGCTTTGTTACTGAAGGTCCCCAACCCAGCTGTTTACAATGGTGTGAGACAAATCTCAAAGTCAAAGGAATGATAAAGGTCTAGGAGGATCAGACCTTGACATTTCACCCCTGTCTTTTCAAAAAGAATCATTCTATGATCCAACAGACTCCTCATGGAAGATGCTCCCCGGGTCTAGATTTTTTAATATCATCTGTGTTGTATCCAGAAATTAACATGAAATTGCTGATAATACCATGATTACCAAGGGCTATCAGCTAGTGCTCTAATGTATTGCAATTAATATACTCCACAGTTCCAGTTCCTTTTCAATTGGCATTGCTATTTTGGTGCTCTTTTGCTTACAGTTTGGAAATAGCTGAAAGAAACAGAGAAGACCCAAGAGCTAAGAGACCAGCACATGGCTACATAATAAAATGCTGACTACAGGTTGCTTATAATACAATATTTACATTAAGAAACAGAACTAGAGAGTTTTCTAGCAATTACAAAAAGTTCTTTCTAGGCTACTGTTTAACAGAACACGGCTTCCTTTGAGGCAGAAGGTAACTGACATTTATAGCATGTCTCCATTCCCTGTGTTCCCTTCAGCATTCCTCATCCCCAAGCCCCAGAGCAGTCACAGTGAAGTCAAGGTTTGTGCATCCGTATTTAAAGGATCAGAGCCTAGATTTGGGAGAAAGCTACATCTTGCCTGGAATAAATATTTCTGCAATTACTTTCAGCACCTTGCAACACCTACTGGTACTTCTGAATACAGGCTCTCCTGCAGATTCAACTGTAGTTTTATTTCCTTTTTAGAACTGACAGCTCGGATATTACTACTACCTTCCTCATTAAAGCAGTAATTACATGAATATCTCATCAGTGCTGGCTTAGCCCATATCCTATCATCCTGCCACTCTTTCCCACCTGCTTCCTTGCACCGGCAGGACTGCACAGCAAACTACCCCACCTAGTTTTTTTAGTTCTGAGCACAGGAATGAGTAGCAAGGTGCTTCAGCCAAGTCTGCCATCACACATCAAAACATACCCTAAAACCAACCACATAACTGTGCAACATGTCTAAGTCACGCCACAGCAGCATGCCGGCATCTTATCTTAAATCCCACAAGCGCTGACAGTGATTCACTCAAAGGCCTGTCAGTTCATAAGCACTTGGATGGCTAAATCACTCCGAACAATCTCTACATAAATGCATGGGTGGGAACAAAAGGGGCGGGGGAGCCGCTCGATCAGCCCAGTAACACACTCCCGATGAAGGGACTCTTCCCTCTTTCCCGGCCGCGCCGTACAGCGGGACCCGGTGCTCCCCCGCAAGAACCCGCGGTAGGCCCGGACAGCCACTTACCTGACGGGGTGCGTGTACTGCTCCAGCTTTCGGGAGGCTTCCGCCAGCCCGCAGGGCCGGTGTGGCTGCTGGGGAGAGAACAGAGATCAGCCCACAGGCACAGCACGGCACCAGCCCTCGGGGGGCCCCGCCAGAACTCCATAAACGCTTCTACCGGACCCACCCCGCGTGCCCCACTCACCGCGGCGGAATCGGTGTCGGTACCGCTCCGCCTTACCGCCTCGCCCGGCGCGGCCACCCATGGCCTCCAGAAAGGCGCAGAGCTACGGGACAAGGGTAGGATCGTTAGGGCTGAGCTAGTCCGCGCCCTGCACCGGGCCGAGGCGGCAAGAGGCGAGCACCCCTGTGGGGACAGCGCCGCTGGGGATGGGCAGACACAGGCGCACCCCGTCCCGCCGCCAGCGTCCATCATCTGCCCGTCCATGGCTGCTCGCCTGGCCCTGTTCGCTCCGGGCCTGGAGGGTTTTATAGCCGGCGGCGGAGCCCACCTCCCCCAGCTCGTTTGCCAGCGCCATCCACAAAAAGGTTCCGCGCGAAGGCGCCGCTGTGTAAACACGGGGCGCGGGCACGTGCATGCTCCAAATGGCCCGGGGGCAGCGTAGGGAGGGGGGTTTCGCAAGTCGGTGTTAATCGCACTTGAGCAGACACATGGCTGATGCTCGCGGGAGCGGCGAGCTCCTGTGGGAACAGCGCGGGAGGTGAGCAGCACCGGGGACGGGCCCGGCTCGCTCTCCCGTCCCGTTGTCCGGTGTCAAGCAGCCGCCGGCGCAGCCTTTTGTCTTTAAAACCGTGTTTATTTACCGCCCCGAGCGGCGAAGCAATGCTTGTGGGGAGGAAGGGAGGGGGGGAGGGCGGAACGGAGAACCAGCGGCTCCTCGCCTCCGGGCACCGCGGCCCGCGAGGGTACCGGTACCGCCGCTGCTCCTCGCGTCCAAGCCGGCGGGAGCCGTGGGAACGGGAGCGCTTCCAGAGGCGCCCAGGCAGGGTCCTCGGGCACGGACAGAAGAGTCTCACCCTGGAGGGTGGAGAAAGCGATGCTTAACACCGCGTCACCCCCCGGCACGCACCGTGACATGCTCCCCCTACGATAACATTGCTTTCTTCGTGTGCGCCCACGTACACTGGGTCGGGTTTGGTGTTTGTTTTTTATTTTGTGTTTTATATGTTGTATTTTGACCAAGGAAACCTGATGTCCTTTATTCTTCTTCATGTGGTCCCGCTCCTTCATTCGCTGCCAGCATGAGATGCTGCTGCTACATGCAGGAGGTTTCATGCCAGACTTGTACCGTTTCCATGTTACCTGGTACCAGCAGAGTTTATTCTTATGTCTATTTTCATTTTTCTTATCCTCCCTCTGTCCCCTTTTCTTTCCGAGGTTGCAATCACTGATGCATGGAAGGGGGGTGGAAACAACAGAGTGATCATATATAGGAGCTGGGGTACCAGTAGTAATGCCAGCCCTGGGGAAGCTACAGAGGGCCGGTGGGCTGGAGGTGCCCTAGATGCTGGAGGAGGGCTTCAAACCCAGGTAATTTACTAGTATTTCTTAGGTACCACAACGACGAAAGCACTCTACTCTCGCAATAATTTTGCTTTTATGAGTGTGGCCATAAGGAGTGTGCCTACCTTAATGCTGCCCAAAAATAGCTGCAAAGAGGAAGTTACTTGTACCTTCTCCACAATATCTTTGGCACATTTCACTGAATGGTATCATACATATTAGAAGCTGGGTAGGAAATCTAATCAGATGAATATTTTCAGATCTTTAAGTCAAAACCAGGGGTAGACTGCATCACCTCTCTGAAGAAAAGCAACCTCTTCCTTTGAAAGAGAAATAGATGGAAGAATGCGTACATTTAAGGTTGCACATGCTGTGATACATTCCAACTTCAGCAGTGGATGTATTCTGGTACTGCAGAGATTTTGGCATTTGACCAATTGGAAAAATTTATAATTATGACTTCACAAGTTATTCAAGGGAAAAGCATTACATTGTGAAAAACCTAGTTTAGTAGGACATTAAGGTGGAGCCAAATGTTTATA